ACGAGAATGACTGCCGAGAGTATCTTACCAAGGCAAATAGGAATTTGCCTGAGTAAGATCAAGGCAAAACTGGAAAATAAATAAATAAATAAATTCAGCACTTAATCTATTGTGCATTACTTCTGCTGCAGAAGAAGTTGTGTAAGTAGTCCGTGAAGTGGAATGAGAACATCTCCTCATGATGACCTTATCTGCATTTCACATAAATGTGTTCCCAAATTTAACAGAACCAAATCTATCCTTTTTGCCATTAGACTGCTAGTCATTCTTGAACACAACCTCGATTTCCTTGTTCCATAACCCTTAGAGAAATAAACAAAGGACGATAGATAAAGCTTCTTCAATGTAATAAAAAAGCAGCATGCAGCCTGTAAGATGAAATTCAAAACCAAAACTCAGATATAAAGAACATGATTTGCCATCTTAGGTTTTTCTTATTGTCTCACTCAACAAGATTTTAGGAAAGAGAGGCACTTGATTTTCCTGCCTCTTTTCCTCTATACCCTGGTATCACATTTCTCTTCCCTTCTATCCAATACAGTGGGGTTTTACTTACAGCAATATAATTTCTAAGCAGTTCAAAATGTGAAATAGCAGTACTTGAGATGATGAGCTATCATTTCTACAGAGCTGTATGATAATTTTCGAAGGACCGGGAGGTTGAGTATGGATTCTAATTAACACTGATGAACCTGGCTCCTAAAGATTAAATTCCCAAATGAGTAACTGCTACCTTTCTACACACAGGTCTATCCAAGTTATTCTCATTACAACAATTAAAAAAAAATTATAAGCTTCAGTCTGTGTCAAGATATTGAAGGTTTTCCAAAACTGATTAAAAATATTAAATGAGGTATTGAACTACATTAAAAATCAACCTTTTTCATGTATAGAAAAGTAATGGTCTATAATTTGTATTCAAGTGATTTTATTTCCAGTGAATAATAACTGTACTGCAGCCAACTTTGTGCCCTGTTTCTCCGAAAACCTCAAGGGATGTACAGCAGAGGATTTTGTA